GTAATTACACTATTTATTTCCTCATTTAGGTTTGTAGTTGTCCTCATTTACCAATTGATGTCTCTGGTTCCCTGTTTACAGTCTTGTAAGCTTATTTTACTTTGGATACTTCTATAACTGGGTTGGTTTCTGGCTTATGTCACCATGTGTGTTGATGGTCAGTTGTTGTTTGCTGTTGGTTCTCTGTCTGAAGGACTCCCTTTAGCATGTTTTGTAATTTAGCAAATTCCCTTAATTTCTGCTTATCTGGAAATCTCCTAATTTCATTTGAAGGACTATTTTGCTTCGTATATAATTCTTGGTTGGAAATTTTTTTCTTTCAGGGTTTTATATACATTATCCCATTGCATTCTCATCTGCATGGCTTCTGCTGAGAAATCAGAGTTTAGTCTTATTGGTTGCCCCTTGTAGGTAACTTTTCGTTACTTCCATTCTGCTTTCAGGATTCTTTCATTGTCTTTGGCTTTGGTGAGTTTGATTATGATATGTCTTGATGATTTTCTTTTGGGGTCTATCCTGTTTGGAGTTCTTTGAACTTCTTGAATGGATATATTCTCTACTTTTATCATAGTAGGGAAATTCTCTTCCAACAAATCTTTGACAATTTTCTCTGTGGTTTTATTTGCCTTTCCTGTTCTGGAATTCCAATTACACATAGGTTATTCCTCTTGATGGTATCCCACATGAACCTTAGGCTTTCTTCATTTTGTTTAGATCTTTTTTCCTGACTGATCCCTTACCAAAGTAGTGTTGAGGTTTTTGTCTTCACTCTCATTACTTCTGTCTTCCATTGCTTCTATTCTACTGTTTTGCCCATTCAATGTGTTATCTATTTCTGAAATCTTGGTATTAATCTTCCGGATTTCTATTTGTTGTTTTTGTATTGTTTCTAATTTTTTGTTTATTTTGTCAATTTGTTCTTGTATTGTTTTCATAAATTGTTCTAGAGTTTTTTTCTGTGTGTTACTTAATTTTGTCAGTATTTTCCTTGATCTTATCAGTGTTTTCCTTGATCTGTCTCTCAATCCATTGAAGGTATCCAAATATAACTTTTTTGAATCCCTTATCAGAGATTCAATGCTGCTTCTTCCTCAGGGATATTTTCTGGGTTTGTATCCTGATCCCTTGTTTCTCCTACGTTATCTTGCTTCTTGCTTCTTGTTTGGACTGGGATGATCTGTTGTCTCTGAGACATTCTCATGTTGTATTTATGTTTAATTTGTGGTTATATGTTGGTGTGATTCACCCAAGATTTTTTTTCCCTTTTATTTTGCTTTGATATATCTGTGTGAGCAGTGTACTGTGCTTCTCTATTTAATAGTTGTTAGCACTTCAGTGGGAGCACTGGTAGCATAGTGCCTAAGGCATTTGACTGCTAACCAGAAGACTGGTGGTTCAAACTCACCAGCCACTCCTCAGAAGGAAGACTGGGAGATCTACTTCCATAGTGATACCACCTTGGAAACCCAAGGAGGGGTCACTATGAGTCAGATCTGACTCGGCAGCAGTGAGAGCACTTTAGTACTCACCTGTCTCCTGGTGGGTGTGATAGAGAATGAAAGCGTGTACATAGATCTCTGTTAGCTTTTCATAAAGAGCAGTTGAGGGTGAGTTAATGTGGTATCAGCTGCTGTCTATCCTTTGGCTGGTGCAAAAGCAAGTGGTGACCCTCACTCAGTGGGTGGGGCTACAGGAGGTGCAGATGTTGTTGGGTTGTGTGGGAACAGTTACTGTCTCCCGCTCTTTTAGACAAAAATGAATAAATAAATAAAAACACCAAACTATAAAAATAAGAAAGCAAAAAACTTAAATGGCACAAACAGGAACAATTACACACACACAAAGAAAAGCAATAAATGAGAAGAAAAAATTTTAAAATGTATTTTTTTAAATGACAAAATAAAGATAATGAGAAAAATTTTAAAAAGTCCACAATATCTGGGGACAAGAGAATGAGAGAAAAAAGCAAAAAGTACAACAGTGAAGAAGAAATAGAAAGAACAAAAAGATAGAAAAAAGAAGGGAAATATGAACAAGGATGTTAGGGGGAAAAAAAGACAAGATCAGAGAAGGGCAAGAGAAAAATAAACAAAGAGGAAAAAAGGAGGAAGATAAAGAATAATTTAAAAGCAAACAAAGAAAAACAAAACTGTGGGGGGTGGGGCAGAGCACTCTAGCTCTGTGATGG